GGCTTTTTTGACACTCACACTCGGACAAGCCTGCCAAGGTCTCTGGTGATATAGTGTTTAGGGTATAGTGATTAGGGTTTTTTCCCTCTCGCATGGCAGAGAACGAAGCTCACAGGCGAGGTTCAATGGGAAGCAATTGAGACCTACTTATGCATTTCGTTTAGGTTATAGTGGTTTAGGGGTTAGGGTACAAGGTTCCTGCCACCCCAAACGCGAGGGTATAGGGTTTAGGGTTTTGCAAGGAAATATGGGGTTTCAGCGACAAGCCTGGCGATGTTACTGGTCCGAGCAACACAGGAGGGTTTCGGGTTTCGGGATGGCATTGGTGCGGGTCCAGTGACGTTGACTTTAAAGACCTTCAGGGGGGGTATAAGGAAGGCAGTTGGAGATTTCGGTGCCGGCTGCGTGACGTCCCGCGTCCAAGTACTCAAGATCCGATTCATAGCTCTAGTGTCTGAAACCTAGCCGCCTAACCACAGGGGCTTGTTACAGACTCTTACGACTCCAAAGCGACACCTGAGGCGGTGCGTCGCGAGTTGTGTTCCGATCTAAACTTGCCTATGACCATGTCTTCAAGCTGCGAAGTGTGGGCAACCGACAAATTGCAGGATGTTGGGTATGGTGGCCTTTTACCGAGCAACTTTCTGGAACGCCAAGTCTTCGTTAGTTTACCAATCCAGAAGCTGGCACAGCATTGCTGATCTGTGCCGGCGTGTTCTCCTGCCCAAGCGATGCATATATTGCCTTCAAGTACTGTAGCTTCACCTCGGGAGCACTCAGAGTAGCTGCTTGACACCTCAGAGTGCTTATCCCAAGTTTTGCTCTCTTTGCGACTCAACCCAGAAGCCCGTAACTGTTACGTCGATGCCGGCCACCCCGGCTTGGACACAATTCGGAACAAGCTGCTGCGCCTGTGCATCGCTCTGTGGCACCTTGGATAAAGACGACTCCCCGATCAGAACCGTATGCAAAAAGAGTCACGTGTATCCTACAACCGTACAGCCACGATGTGCACAGCACATGTGGTTTCAGCGACGGGATTCAGAGAAGTCTTCCTGAAAGCCCTCCAGCACACTCCTCAAATCCATGATGCTAATGGGTGGTCGTCAAAACCACGGCCCCTTTTGAGTTACCAAACTCTAGGGTGCCACATTAGGATCAGACTCATAAAGGGTTCCCCGGAAGGACGATCATTTCGACAACTACCCTCGTGAGGATCCACCTGCATTTGGACTTCGCAGGTCGTCACACGAGGGCGGCAGCAGCCAGACCTAGCCGCCTTTGAGGTTTCCATCCCGGGATGCGCGGAGTTTCGGCGGATACCGGTTCGGCGAACCAGGAATGCACGGGACGTTTGAATCTGCTTCGTGGTGAATTACATTTAGACACAAGAAACTATGAACTCCATGCAAAACCCGCAGTAAAGTGACGCCCAAAGCCAAACTCCTGCAAACAAGACGCTCCTTCACCCAGCTCGTACATGACCTCAAGCAGGACACGGGTTTAGGTGTTCGGGGTTAGGTTCTGAATGTCAGGAAGTGTTCTTACTTGGGGCAAATTCTGCAGTCGCGCCTCCGAACATGCTGGCCCACTCAAAGGCGAAAAACACCCAGAACCCAAGCTGCTACTTGAAAAACACTCCAAACCCTACTGACCCCAACTGTAGACCCTGTTTCACAAACCGCAGCCAAAGAACGCCCAAACTATACTGTGCCATTCCATGACCCTGCTCTGCGGCTTGGCGAAATCGCTCTGCAGCCTGCGCCGCGGCTGTTATTCGGGAATGTCATCGGTCCGATTCAAGATGAATCGGCACAGATGTCGCATATCATGGGTCCGAATTACTTTAGTATGTTTTACAGAAAGAACAGTTATAGTGCCTATTCCGAACCCAAAGCGCTGCTTGTGTAGCTATACTGCATACATACATCCCAGGACCAGGAACAGACACTGCAAGTCTAGGTCTATAGTACTGCGAGAACTATCAAAAAGTAGATACGGGGGGGGGGGGTCATGTGTATGTATTTATATGTAGATATACACATGCATACATGCATATGTCACATACATACGTACATACGTACGTATGTGCATACTTACGTGCATACATGCATACACACATACATACCTACCACAAACATCCACAAAGAGACAAGTATCATCTGGTCGCTCGTGATTTTCAGCCCCAGCTCTCACGCAAAGGGATCATTACTTGGACCATATAAGCTTTGTTTTTCAGTTCTTAATGCCGTTCTGGGTTCTTTTGTGGCAGGGTCATACGCTGCAAGGGGGCAGCACACCGTCAACAGGCCCGCAGCCCCAACTATCCGCTTAAACCCTTCAAGGGCTCTTGAGAAACCCTCTTCAATGACAAACTCCGAACCCTAAACCCTAAGCCCTAAACCCTAAGCTTGTAGCAGTTGCTCGGCGACTGCTGGGCCTGCTCTTCGTTTCGCTGCACACCATCGCCACAGAAGAGGCAGGAGCCCATCTCGGAAGTCGGTTCAAGTCGATTCCCAACCCTAAACCGCTACATAGGGTTTAGGGTTTAGGGTAATTTAGGGTTTAGGGTTTAGGGTAGTTTAGGGTTTAGGGTTTAGGATACATTCCCCTGCACACCCTGAACCCCCGAGGATCTTCATCATCGTCATCAGCTCGTTGCGACTATACTCGTCCCCGACTTGAGAGACACCTCCCGAACCCCAAGCCAGGCCCCTGCTCAATGAATACCGACCGAACAACTGGGCTTAATGCTTAGGGTACGGACTGTGCTGGATTCCGGGGTTTAGGATGAGGGTCTCTCAGCTGCAAACCCTACTTAGCCGTCCGAAAGTCACTTTTCGCGTGCCCGAAAGCTGCAAAAATGCAGCCTGGAGGCCATGTGCTGAGCTTGGGGCAATCCTTGCTTCGCGGCCTTCTCGATGTACTGCATGCCTCTGGGGACGTCGATCTCGGTACCTTAGCTCCACAGGTTTTTGAAAAGTCTCGCTCTTCCACGACTACAGTTGCAAAAACCAAATTCTGCTCTTTGGAATCCTGCTATCATGAAGTGTTGACAAAGCACTTCATGATACTTCACAGTCTAGTTTTGCCGTGTGCTCCTTCAAAAGCCAAAGCCCCTAGTTTTTAGAGTTGTACCTCAAACTCACATTAGGACCCCGCTGCTATACACTGAAGTATGTTCCTCAGTGTAGGGACCTTATGCTATACTTGTAGCTATAATCAGGGGCCCTCCAAATAGTATAGGTATTTAAATTATCAAGGCTCCAAAATTATGCTCCGTACTTAAAAAGCCCTGGAATCCGTCCTCTTTTATGGAGGTGCTGGACTCAAGACGGCAGTCCAGGCCCCATCTTTCCACTCTCCTTAGAATCTTAGGACTGTATGTATGAACTAAGCCAGTATGTATGCCTGACATTCAACATAATGTGCAATGTAAGCGTATGTTTAGTACCGCTTCTCAGAAGATCTTCTGCGTCACACCTAACCCTAAACCCTAAACCCACCTCCATGCCTTCCGAGAGGCCGGATCCTTGGCGCAAGGCGTATCCCAACCTGAGCCGAAGCACGGTTTAGGGTTTAGGGGTTTAGGGTCTTTTTGCTTAGGGTTTAAGGGTATAGGGGTTTAGGCGTTTAGGGCTCAGGGGTTTAGGGGTTTAGGGGTTTAGGGTTCTTGAATCGTTGTTGGATCAGGGTTCAGCGTGTTGCTTCTATGCCGAACCCCTTTAAGGCAGTGCCTTCACCGACCTAGTTTTTCATTAGGCTGCAGAAACGACAACCCGAAGTTGAAAGCAGCCAGAGCTTCATGTAAGGGACCGGTTTAAGGTTTCGAGGCCTTCAGAGGGCAGAAGGGTTTGGTGTTTAGTTTTCTTGGAGACGTCCTCGAGGGTCTACGTCAGGTTTACGCTCTCACAACTCGGGGCGAGGTTCAATAGTCGGGTTTAGAGTTTAGAGGCTTCGGTGCTCTCGGATAATACAGGCGAGGCTCTTGGTGCTTCGTCGGTTGGGGTTTCAGGTGATGTTGATGGTTGAGCATTCAGCGACAGCAAGGATCGAGGAAAGGGACGCGCAAGCTCTCTTCGGCCGGTCGGACTCTCAATGCGTGCTGAGGCACCGATATTGGGCAAAGTCGAGGTCCGCGGCCGCAGCTTTCCTGACCACATTCAGGTGCCCATTGTAGCCAGCAAGCCAAACTAATGTAGGGGCCTTAACGAATAGAGTAGGGTTTTGGGATATATATCAGTATCATCATAATAAGGAACCCCCCAAAATAGCATTGGTAATTATTTCGGCCATATAAATAAACGTTGGCGCTCGAGAGTTTTCGGACTTGAGGGGCTGGAATACTTCCCCTTCTCTCCGTGTTAAGCGCTGTGAAGCGGCTCGAAGAGCAGTACACCGCGTTCTTGATCTGGGGCGATCTCTGCATCGCAAAGCCTCGGTTTTCGACACTCGAGACGAGTGTACTGAACCCCCCCTAGCATTAGGGGTCCTTTGTCGGGCCTCCTTGTAGAGGATCCTGTTATGTGAACTCCCACACAAGAACTTTTTGGGCTTCGTGAGAGTTTAGCAGGCTTGAGAATACAAAAGAGGAGACCACAGCGCGATGCCGGCATGCAGTCGATGCCGGCATGCTGCCTCGTGTAGTTGTTTTTTTTGCACCCATGCCAATCGAGACTGCCGGGTGCGCAAGGAGAAGGCAACTAAAGGTTAGACGAAAGGGAAACCCCTTCCTTTCTGATTGGAAGCCAAGAAAGTCAAAGGCTACCCACTCAATTACTAGTCTGCAACTCCAGTTGGCGGAGTTCAGGTGAGTTCCTGATGCCACTTGCCTAGACGTGACCACGTGACTACCCTTACGGCCTTTATAATTAGAACAGGGTTTTGGGGTATATTATACCGTCATTATAATAAGGAACCCCCAATATAGTATAGGTAATTATTCAGGCCTCCATAGAACGAGCGTTCTCCGCCGATTCAACAGATCCCGCCTGCTTGTTCATGTCCTCTTCGAGGTGCAAGAGAACAGATGGGTAGTTGTCAAAATTATGGTCCCTTTTGGGGTACCCTAAATAATAGGTGCCGTATTATAATAAGGACCCAAAAAGGGACCTTAATTTTGACAACCACCTAGATGAAGATCAAGCCGGAAATCGAAAACCATTCGAGGAATCATCTGTGCATAAATCCTTTTGACCAAGACCTTTTCCCCAAACCTTAAACCCTAAAGCCTTGGGGGGAACCTGTATTGTGTACCGCGACCTTCGGCTTGCAACCAGGCGGCATCTCCCCCAGGTTGAACTGGGCTTCAGCATGGCCTCTGTTGCCGGCCTTCTCAAACCATCGCGCCGCCTCCTGCGGAAGGTTTCGGGGTTTAGGGTTTCAGCACTCACAGCTATAGGACAGGTCAGGGTTTACGGTAAGAGAAACATCCATGTGGTCACTTGCAGACGGGAGGTCGGAAATAAAGGCTGACATGAATGGAACAAGCGGTGCCGATACATTGGAGTTTTAAGACTGGCAAAGCGAGACCCGAATCTAAAAGTCCGAAGTAATTAATTTAGAGGGACCCGTAGTACAAGGACGACCGCTTGCTTGAGAAACTACCGTAATTTCAAAAGCCGCGCGGCACTGATTCTCGGAGGCATACAGCTTCAACCTAATCCGCACAGTGCTTGTGCGAAAGCCTGCAACCCACATCCCACTCATGCTGGTGACTGCTGGTGACCTCTATATTTTCGCTCTACTTGTCCATGCTTGAGTTACGCGTTTATGAGTCTATGAGTTAACAGTGCAAAATGCTTTACGATCGGCGCGATCCCTGAAACCAGGATGTGCATGTGAGAAATTCAAGGCCTACACCGGATCCAGTCTCTCCCTCGCTCTCACTCCCGGTCCGTTTCTGCGCATGGATAAACGACTGACTGAATGACTGACTGAATGCCAGCGTGAGTGAGCTAGTAGGTGAGTAAAAGGATGAATGCATCACCATACATGCATGCATGCATGCATGCATGCATGCATGCATGCATGCATGCATACGCACGTACATTCGTTCATGCATGCACGAACACACATGCATACAATAACAAACCGAACTGTCAAGCACAGACGCTGCGCACCTCTTTACGGATTTCGCAGCCCAATCCATTTCGAAGCATAGTTGCAGCACCTGAGCTACCACCGCAACGAATTGCTCATGGTTGATCGCGTGATACTCTTCGAGTCTTAAGCGGCAGACAGACAAACAATCCGACCGACCGACCGACAGATAATCAGATAGACACACAAGTAGATGGTAACGACTGGGCGTCACGAAAGTGGCTTATAGCCTAGGAAAGGTGACAAGAAACGGGGCCCCACAGAGTCGAAGTTCACTCACATTGTGTGATCTTCGTGTGAGGGGGGTGGGATCTCGAGAACTCAACCAAAACCCGGAGTCAGAGCATGTCGAAACAAGCCTGCTCTGCAGAAACGGGGCAATTCATGGCTTCCAGGTGGTCTTGTTTCGCCGCGGCCAAAAGCCATTTCAGAGCTTTCCCCATGTCCTGCCGGCTCCAAACCCTAAACCCTAAACCCTGTTTTATGACTTTCGGGTTTCCGGGCTTCCACTTTGCTGCCGGATGCGAGGCTCTCTCAAAACAGTGCCGGTGCCTTGGCCACGCCATTGGCGGTGACGTACATAACCTGGTTAGGGTTTAGGGTTTAGGGGTTTAGGGTTTAGGGGTTTAGGGTTTAGGGTTTAAGGGTTTAAGGGTTTAAGGGTTTAGGGTTTAGGGTTTAGGGGTTTAGGGGTTTAGGGGTCAGCTCCGGTGCGTTTGGACCCACCCTGGAAGGCACGAGCCTCGCAGGGAAGTTACGTCTCCCTTTCAGAGCCCTGTCTAAAGATCCGACCCAAATATCCTATATATATATATATATACATAGAGATATAGATAGATAGATATATATATATATATAAATATAGATAGATATGTGTGTGTATATATATATATATGCTCGCCGAAGAGACCCTGTAAATTGGTGGGATACCAGTATGGAAAGCCAAGGAGACCAAATCAAATTCTCGAGCCAGGGTGCCCCCAGCTGAAACTGGGACTCAGGGCTTCCCGCCTTCCGCACCAGGGGGCATCGGGATACTTCTCGGGGGTTTAGGGTTTAGGGGTTTATAATGTAGGGGCCTTCATAATTAGACTATGGTTTTGGGGCCCAGTATGTTATATTTATAATAAGGAACCATGAAAATAATTCTTGAGATTTTAACCCAGTGTCTTTTTGGGAGGTTCCTGCAAGTTCACACGTGGGGTATGGGGTTTCGGGTTTCTAGGGTTTCGGAGTTTGGCATGAGGGACGAGCGAACCTCGGTTTTCGGAGGAAAAAAGGACCGTCACTTAGGTGACCTGGCTGAAGATGTGCAGTGAGCTCCTGGCCGTCTCATAACTTCAACTGAGAAGATCCGTAACAAGAGCCCCCGGGTTCAGGGCTTTACCCTCTCACCTCGAGTTCTAAGCCAACCCTAAACCCCAAACCATAAACCCTAAACCCTAAGCCAACCCTAAACCCTAATTGGTGGGGCCTGAATAATTAGAAGAGGGTCTTGGGGTCCTATATGGTATATTTATATTATACTATAACTATAACAGATAATATAATATAACACAATATAATATAGAATGTAATAAAACAATAATAATCATAATAATATAGAATGTAATAAAACAATAATAATCATAATAATATAGAATGTAATAAAACAATAATAATCATAATAAGGAGCCACCCCGGAAACTTCCGAGGACCTTCGCTTGCTGCTCCAGTGCTGCTGCGGCGGCTAGGCCCTCTTGGGTCTCCCCACCTCGCAGTGCTTGGGGTTTTTAGGGGGGCATGATAACGGGAATCCTTAAAGGGATCCATAAGGGTTAGGGTTTAGGGTTTAGGGTTTAGGGGCATTATAACGGGAATCCTTAAAGGGACCATAAGGGTTAGGGTTTAGGGTTTAGGGTTTAGATTCTATAACGGTTGCCTTAAAGGGATCCATATAAGGGTTCTATAAGGGTTTCCTTAAAGGGATCCATCATAAGGGTTCTATAAGGGATCTTACAGGTTTGAGGGTTTTGACTTGGTGCACTTCTCGATTTGTGCGTGTCATCCTTGCGCAGGGGCCCTGCTAATATCTTCTCTGTATCGTTCCAACTTTATCGGAGGATTCCGTCTCGGGTTGTAGGGTTGAGGGTATATACAGGGCTTAGAGCTCTTTTTGCCTCCTGAAGACCTGCATCGCTCTGGTTTCAAACTTCGACAGTGGTTTGGAGCTGACGGTTTGTGGTCTAGGCTTCGGGGCTTCCGGCTCGACGCAGCTGACCGGTGGCTTATGCCGAGTTCATCTGCAAGCACAGCAAGTCTTGTCGGTCCGGGTTGCCCCTAGCCACCATTCAACCCCAAACGCCTTAACACTTCAGGCGTTACCCAAAAGACCCCAATTATTCAATACCCCGTAATTTCCGACCATGCCTTCGATCCAAAGGAAGAATCGTAAGACTCGTCATGAGTCACAAGGCTACTACAAGGCTAGCAAGAATTGGACTCATGGTCGAGTATGAGTATGAGTTTTTCATGGTTTATGATCCATTCATTCTAGGTAGACACTCTTCCGCCGGCTAGAGCTGTGCTCGTGACAGCGCTTCCAGCGTCTGAGCATGCGACTGAGAAACTTGACTCACAAGGCACACTAGTCCGAACTTGTCGTAAGCCTGTCGGTGAATAGCACACAGTTCTGGATACTATCATTCCCCTTACACTAAACCCTATACACTCTAAACCCCAACCCCGCTTTTCCGAGTAGTACCCAGCTGAAAGCTTCAAGGCCCTTACACTCTGCTCCCGTGCCCAGCTACCGAAGTCGAAAGCCGCAGCTTCCGCCTGCGCAGACCTCTCTCTGAAGTTTGCTTCAAGGGGGGACGGAGGGGGGTGAGGATTCTTTGGGCGGAGTTGAAGGATTTGTTTAGAACTGGCCAGGCTTTAGAGGCGTAACTTTCGGCGGCACTTTTAGGGCTTGGGGACTTGACTGGCTAGGTCTGCCTTTGTGCCATGGTGGGAATTCCCGTCCAGAGTTGCGTGCTGCGTCTAAGTTGCTGTCCCTCCGTTCTCTGCCTGTGACCTTTTCTCTGTGAAGTGTGTTGGACCTGAGACCGTCCTGTTTGAGGGGTTGTTTAACAATCCGGGAGATGAAGCCTGATGTTCCGAAACTCTTGAAGAGGCCCTGTCCCCTGTGACCAGCCCGGAGCTCATACGCCCTTACCGGGAGGGTTCGGTTTTAGGGTTTAGGGTGTAGGGTTTCCTTCTTTTAGGGGTTTGGGGTTTTAGGGTTTAGGGTGTAGGGTTTCCTTCAACCCTCTAGAACTCAGGTGAGCCGCGTCTTTGCATCCTTCTCCTCGCGCAGGAAGCTTGCTAGCAGAGGGTTGGCAAGTTGAGCATATGAGCGTTTCAGCACAATCTAGCACCAAGTGGGGTGGCAAGCACATGCGGCCGGGATGTGCATGTCCTTTTGTAGGCTGCCGGTCCACTGACTTTGCCGACGGTTTGGGGTTCTGCCGGACTTCGCGCTTTCTTTTGCCTACTGACGGAACACCATTGGGCGGACAGTTTTGCATGAGAAGCAGAGTCTGACGAAGCAGCTGGTTCAGTGAGGTAGGGCTCTGATTATTGCAGGCCTTACCGGAAGGACACCTTCAAATAGTCAATGACCAATAATACCCTAGAAACCGTACTTCGAGTGCTCGCTGCATATCAAGTTTGTCATGGGCAGAGGTGTCCTGTGCTGCGTCCGGTCGCGGGCCTGCAGCAGCCATGGCCGAAAATGTGCGATCCTCAGATGTCAAGTCAAATCTGGCTCATTGCAGCATGTCAAACTAAGCCGGGTTCATGTGATGGATGTAACACCATCCGCTCTAAGGACTTACATTAACCTAAAACATACACAGACGAAATCATAGTAAGGATTCACAACCACCATGCAACTTCCAGCATGACCTTTCGCTCCACACAACTTCTAGACTGGGTGCTTGAAGGCCGGCGCCAACGATGTGGCCCTTCAGCTCAGCTGCATCCTTACAATGAAGTGGAGTTTCCTTATTCTGGCGGTATTTAGCAGGATCCTACGATTCCGCATGTGCTCTGAACCGCGCTGTTGGGCTGCGGGTGAGCTGCTGACCTTCGCAACTTGTTTTGCAAGCTCCAAACCGTGAAACACGCCTAAAGCAAGCTGGGGGACATTCTAGGGGCCTCATGAAGTGGAACCCGCTTTTGGATATGTTTTGCGCACCTCTATTCGGGAACCGCAGAGGGCACCAGGGCATCAGTGATATCTGCTTGGCCAGGATACTGGCAAGGTCTCTCGCACCGCCTTCGGCAGGTCCGAAGATTTGGCGAACTGTTCCAGGCTCGCCTGTTCCGGCATGTAGGACCTAGAGGCCTGAACATGGTGGACTAGCTATTATAAATATACCCTTGCTCTTTCGGGGAGATAAGAGGATCTTGTTTCTAGCTGTTTCGACTTTTGACCCCTAGATATTGCCAGCCGCAGAGCAGGCTCAATAGTAGTCCTCATGCATACTGGTACTGCTCTTCCCGAAATACTACTGTACGCATCTGAAGCACGGCATCCAAACCACGAAGCATCAATCAATTACGCCCAGACCAATCTCTCTTAGCTTTCGGACACAGCACACAGCAAGTCTCCTCGCTGCGAGTGGTTGTGAGTCTTGCGATCGTTCGCCGGCCGTTTTCGTTGGCTGACTCGCCGGCAGCTGTCAGATTTGGGAGTTTCAGAAAATAGGGGACCCTAATATAGGACCCTAAATAGCAGGATCCTTAACGTAAGCACCCTAAATAGGGTACCCTAGTTTTCTGAAGTTACCATTTGACTTAGTTGGGGTCCCTACCGGACTTCGAATGAAGGCTTTAAGCAGCCCGAGCTTTGAGAAAAGCTTGCCTCGACCCGCTTGAGGATGCAGTCTTCTGCCTTGCAGACACAGGGTTTGGCGTTTTTTGGGGCTCAGTGTGCTTTCTCGGCTTTTTGGGCATGTTTGCCGTTTTTTTGCCTCCCACCTAGTTACTTCGAGCCTGCATTGCAGGGTTAGGTCGTTGAAAGATCAATGCCCAGGCCCAGGCATTACGGATGAAGAGCTGTCTGTCTGCAAGATGTCGAGCCCGGCGACATCTTGAGATTCAGCCTAAACTGTGAGGATGCTTCGGTACTGTACACAGGGTGCTTCGAGCTAGCAGAATCGGGTATAGGTAGAAGTCGTCAGAAATTTGCTTGCCTTATTACCATGGTCACATGTTTGCAGGCCTCAAGAAGAAGACTGTTATAAACTCCTCAAAAACCGAGAGAATTTATATGACCATACACCATCGCAATGAGGCCGGCAGGGGCTGTAGCATGGGGTTGCATAGGTCTGTACATAAGAGCCGTAATGCTCGAACGACTTCAGGTTTCGGTGCAGATTATAGCATGAAGGCATAGACATCAGGGACGACAAGGGCAGATTCCTGAGCTATTCCGACCTCTGCAATTAATCACGTCCATGCCCCCATGCCCAAAAGCCTTCCCGAACCGCCGCCTTCCCCCAATCCGTCCGTCTCAAACCTAAACTCTGGTCCGCAACACCAAAAACCCCAAGCCCTGAAGCAGCAGCCCTAAAACCTACAGCGCTACAGCCCTCCCTCCCTCTCTCTCTCTGTCTCTCTCCCTCTCTCTCTCTCTCTCTCTCTCTCTCTCCCTCTCTCTCTCTCTCCCGGACTCGAATCGCCCTAAAGACCTCCAGAGTGAGCCCAAGCGCCTCTGCCACCCCGCGCTTGAGCCCGGAGGCGATGCACTCACCGAGTCCCAGCCCTGAGTGGCTCCAGGGAAATTCCAGAAACCGTCAGAGTCACACTGTTAGGCGGCTGACATGGTAGTAGCGAAACATATAATATGAATAGCTCAAGAACACCGGCACTCCTGCTTCTATAGACAGATGCACGGCTCGTGTTTACATAATGCAAGTTTGCGCACGCTTTTCTACGGCATGCAGTTGCGTAGACTTTGTGTGAAGGTGTGCCTGAAAAGCCTTGTAAATGCATGCCTCTACGGCTGGGCCGCCCGGCCTGGCTGGCGCACCGTGCTCTGCAGTCTCTTCATGATCAACTCGTGGGTCGAAATCTCGGCGAGCTTGCTTGAGTTCTGGGGTTTCGAAGCTTCGGGGTGTAGGGGAAAGGTCTCTCAGGGGTTCGAGGTTGAGGATTTTGGACTTGAAGTTGTCGGGGTTTGCATTGTCCGCCAGGCGAGATAGGTACGAAATTGAGTACATTGAGTTTCTAGCTCGCGTATGGGCAGGACGCTCGGCCGGCAGCTGCATATTCTTCGGGATCTTGCTAGTGCTGCGGTTCGTAATTCTTCAGGGCGAAGCGGCCGCAGTTGAAAAGCTTGTCAAGGCATGCGTTTATGCGGGTATGTGTATATATACAGAATACACACATATTTGGGAACACCCGCACATGCATCAACGCACACAGATGACCGTGCAGTCAGGCATGATGGATGACTGCTGGGGGCTGGACGGCATCAACATCCTTGGATCACAAAGCCATGCTCAAGTGCCCAGATCATGTTGAGGTAAAGTTCAAGTCAGCCCAAGGTCTTTCTTCCTGTGGTGGAACCCCCCAGCAAGAATCGAAGGAGCCAGCGGACACAAATCACAAGAACGGTTGTGGTACCAAGAAAACGTATGAGAATGGCAAAAGCCATACGGACCATGATGACTGTCCCCATTTATTCTGATAGGTTCAACTCGTCATGTAGTGCCAAGCCTTGGAACAAGCGCACTCGTCCACCAAGCTACAGGTATTACATTGACCGGGTTCGAAGTCGGGAGGCAGAACTTGGGACAAGCTTGGCTGACGTTGGGAGAGCCACTCGAGCTCACAACCAGGTCCAACAATGGCAAACAGGAAGCAGCGTAGGATACTACCCCCAGCCCACACAACGCAAAGCTCCAGGTGTCCACAAATCGAGGCGATCTTGCCGCCCGGTCGGAGAGGAGGGCCTCGCGAAAGCGGCTTCAACAAGTTGTAGGCTGAGGGCTCAAGGCGTTAAGGATTTGGGGTCTTAAAGGCTGTTTTGCTTCCCTTTCAGCGAGTATTCTTATTGTTCGTTCTTCGCTGCTGCTGCTGCTGCTGCTGCTACTACTACTACTACTACTACAGTACTACTTATCATGATTATGCTGCTTTCTCTTCTTCCTCTTATTACTCATACGAACATGAAACCACTGTCAGGATGATGATGATGACGACGACTTTGTACTGCTGCATTTTGCGAGACCCGCCTTGGCCAGGGATGTGGCCTCTTCCAGTGCGGCGCCGGCGCCAAAACCGGGTCCGATCTCGGCGGCGTGGCCGCGGGCCTCTGTATCTGCTGCAGTGTTGCTGCCAGTGAAATAATTACATGCTGACAGAGAAACACATTCATATACACGTATATGTATGCATGCAGGCATGCATGGATGTTTGTATGAATGTATGTAATATGAATGTATGTATGTATGTATGTAAGTAAGTAATGAATATATATATATATATATATTTACATGTGTATATATACTATTATGCTTCTTTTGTACTGCATATGCTTTGCACATATGTGCAGCTGTATGTGCTTTTGCTGCACCGGCTTTTGTTGAGGGGGATTGGGGCGGGGTCTTCAGGGGTTAGTGGCATTGTCTTTTTTTGTTGGTGGGGCCTACTGTGGATGGGGGATGTCATAGTTACTTAGGGCTTTTCGGTGCGGCGAAGTTCCGGGTTTGAAGCTTACTCGGGATCAGTGGATGCCTAGGGCTTGTGAGGGTTGTAGCGCTTCAGGGAGCTGGGGGTACGAAAGACGTTTGGCAGAAAAGGTTTTGCGTTTTGGGATTTAGGACGTTTTGAAGGTGTCGGGTTTGGGCGCTCTGCGATTTTGTGCGGATTAGCGCCTTTAGGTTCAAAAGCCTGTCTTGGCTACTAGGGTTTTTTTGGGAGCGCCACATTCAAGACCCTTCGATTCAGCTTATGAGTCATGAGGGGTATCCTAAAACCCCAAGCTTTCATGCCAAGGCCGTAAGCTAAATCCCCTGTACTCCCTCCGATGGCGCCAGACAACTAAAACCCTGTGAGTCCCTCTAGAGCCCTTCTGTATCCTTGTCTAGGTTTTCCAGTAGGCCCTTAATAAGGGCACCCTTTCTCATGGCTTTGAGACCCCAAAATACAAAGGGGAGACCAAAACAAAGAGTAGGGACAAGTTTGCTCCCTGCAGCGAGCACCTCCATGCCTTCGCAGCAACTCGACTAACCCTAAACCTTTTTGCATCCAGGCCGATTGCGACTGCCGGGTACCCCTGAATCTGAAGAAAGCCCTGAACCCTAGATCTTAAACCCCCAAATCCCCTTAACCCTAAAGCCCCAAACCCCTTAACCCTAAACCTTAAACCCCCTTAACCCTCAACCCTATACCTTCAAACCCCCCAAACCCCTTAAGCCCTAAACCCCCAAACCCCTTTTAACCCCTTTAACCTTTAACCCTAAACCCCTTAAACCCTAAACCCCCAAACCCAAACCCCTTTTAACCCCTTTAACCCTAAACCCCTAAACCCCCAAACCCCTTATTTAACACTTTTAACCCCTTTAACCCTTTTAACCCCTTTAACCCTAAACCCCCAAACCTCTTATTTAACTCTAAAGGTTTAGGCGAGGAACAGCCCGGCCGATCAGAAACGCTGCCAGCGGACCCGAGTCTTCGGAGAGAAACCTGGGCTCTTCAAAGCTGTCATGTAAGGGGGCCTTATAAGACTTAGTAGAAGGATTCTACTATGTACTATAATTAATAATAAGGACCCCCCCCACAACAATATATATATATATATACATATATATATATATACATATATATATATATATATATATATATAGGTAATTCTTGGGTTCTGGGATGTCGACTCGCACACTCACTTAATTTCGGCTCGGCTTCAGGGACTCAGGCTTCGTGTTTGGGGTTTCGACTCGTGCACTCGCACTGGGCAGGCACGGATTCAGGCGACAGACAGGTCCACGACATGCAGGGTTTTGCTTGTGTTCTTCCATCCGCTTCGCTGACTTGGGTTTGGGATTTAGGCCTCCTGGTTCTCGTGATCAACTGTCAATGCCGAAATGTCTCGCCTCCAACTGCATCTTTCATCGTGATCTTGACACTCCTGCACCTATGGCTATCAGAATAAACGCTACTGCGAGGAGAGCACATACAGACTCGGTGCTGCTTAGTTCGTGCTAGCTGCCTCAGCTTCATCATGGAGGCCAGAAAAACGAACCACGAACCGCCAAGATTATGTCGCATGTCGCATTTAGAGAGCGAGTTGTTGGCTATCGCTTCGACTCGTTCATAACTGCAGCAGCTTTCTCTCTTTGCTTTTGCTCTAGATTGCTGTCATCATCGCTTCTGACTTCTTCAGTCGCTTCTCTCCTCAGACCATTAAGAGCAGTCAGCGAGTAAGCACCGCACTGTACTGCTTTGCTGGGGCCTCGCTTTAGCAAATATAAGCTTGCACCATGGACCCGAGACCCTTTCGCGGAATGGCACCGAAAACCTCGTGGCTCTGAGCAGGTAGGGAGCTGCGTGTAGCTGGGGCGGTCAGCCACGTCGGCGGAAAAGCAGGCTACACCAGTGAGCGAGTCCTGTTCGGGAACGGGACAGTCTCTTTGGGACTGCTTGCTTCGCGCAGGGTTCTAGCACGCTGAACTGGAAAGCCTATGTAAATGCTTCTTGGTTTGGGGCTTTGCTATGCTACTGTGCGTGACTTCAATGCGTGGCATCTTTGCACCAGCTATTGCACCAGCTGGAACCACTGCTACCAAAAGCCTGGCTCTCGACATTCTCACCAGACACTAACAGCAACCGTTGGAACCTAAACCTTCCTAGAGGCCTGAGCTTTTTGGGGCCTTCATGCTACAATCGTCTTTGGGTGGTCCAGGGAAGGTCCCTGCTTATTCGTCAAGTCTCTCGTTATTTTATCCTGCACCCATTACACTAAACCCTAAACCCTAAATCCATGGCATATCAGCACCGGCTTTAGATGTCAGTTTCACAATAAACCAAAGATCTGGGAAGCAAAGAAAGCGTCCTCTGGGATGCCATAGTACTTGCATCCCTCTCCTTGAATGCGCAGCTCCATGACACAGGCTACCCCTTAATCAAGGTCGAAGCTTGAACTAGATGGAGGTTCTCATTATGATTTAAGCTCCATTCCTCACTGAATTGAGGGTTGCTGCTTGTTGTTCCTTTTTTTTTTTTTTGGGGGGGGGGTGTGGGGGGCAGATGGACGCTCTGGCACTTTATGCAATGACAGGTCCACGAAAAGCCGGGCGTTTCAGCCTCCCAGGGCAGCCAGGACTCGGAGATCTTGCCTTGGCGGCGCGATATCTCAGGGAGGTGAGAGCTTGAGGTTCCAAAAACTACCCAGAGCACCCGAAACACACCCTGGCCCTCGGTCATCTACACAAGCAGAAAGTATCATGACACGAAGTCGTCTGTACTTCTGAGGTAATTGGATGGCTCCTCGATTGAAGGGCAATTGGGCTCTAGGGTGGCTGCGGGGGACTGTAATGTAGAGGCCTTAATAAATAGAATAGGCTTTCAAGGTATATTGTACTGTAACTATAATCAGGAACCCCCCAAAAATAGTGTTGGTATTTATTTAGGCCCCTATAGGGGAGTTTCCGAAAACAGGGGATCCTAATACCGTACCCCATATTAAAAGGACCCCAAAATAAGGTACCCCTTATTTTAGGAAACTCCCATAGTACACCCTGAAACATCCGAGGATGAGTTGCCACAGCTGCTGCAGCTCCTGCCTGCCTTCCGCCGGGCTACTCAAGGAGGACCTGAGCAACACTCGAGCTCTGGTCTTGCAGAGCTTTGATGCTTAACTTGCGTCGACAGCGCGGCGCTGTTCTTGTGTTTGCAAAGCTGCAAACTGAAGATAACCGTCTTGGCCCACCTCCGTCAACATCCGTTCCATACCTTCTGTTTCGCGACTCGTCTCGCCAATAACAGGGAGGAGTCCTGCGCTCTGCTCTCTCTCTCTCTCTCGCCCCATGTCTCTTGTTCAGACTCAGATGTATTTGCGCGAAAGCTCTATTCCAGCTGATCCTATCGCTGGCAACTGAAATCCTGACCTGCAAATTGAGGCAAGCGACAGCAAATCCGCCGGATTAGCGGTTTTCTGTAGCTGTGTGATGGCCTGGCCCTCATCCGGTGTGAGGCGCATGTGGAGGAGGCCGCGCGTGTTACCTGACTTCCATGCTTTTCGGGGTTCGGCTCAACTTCTCGATCTGTGTGTGTCCTGCTTGCGACGGTTTCTTGCGTATAGTATTGGGTATTGATAGTATTAACGAGGATTCTCAAAAACCGAGGATTGGCGGAGCTTTAAGGCCGCTGGCTTGAAGAGAAACGTGTGACAGAGAGACCCGGGTCCTCCTCCTGAAATTCACCTTCCAGCTGCTCTCGGTTCTAGCATCGAAAAAGAAGCCCTTTTATTTTTGCATCCTGCCTAGTTAACCTCCTAAAACCTATAGCCCTCTTGCGAGGCCTGCCCAGGTAAGGAAATACCGTCGCTGGGCCCAGGAGAGCGCCATCGTGGCGCCGACGGAGAGCTTTGGGGACTTGAGGTCGAAGGACACCTGGGGGCTGACCAAAGCAGAGGGCATATGCGCACGCACACTTGTATGTGAGTACATAGAGATGGTTTTGAACACAAATAGGTATTTGTATATATATATATATATATGTACAAACTGATGTATCTATTGCAGTCGCTATACAGCCTTAGATTCGATACACTATCTATCTACCGCTGTCTATCTATCTATCTATCTATCGGCCTATTTATCTATCTATGAATCCGTCTATCATTAGCTATTTCTCCGTCTAAATACATAGAAACGAAAAACGTACGCCCCACACACACACACATATCGCTCTTTCGCTCGCTCTCTTGGAATTGCATAGCCATGCAGCGGAACGCATCATCCTATGCCACCACAACTGATGGGATGGGCTTATATGCATACGCATGTGCATGTCGTACACTTCTTTATATACATGAATTAACGAAATGTATATTGTGTTATATATATATATGTATGTATAATGTGTGTGTGTGTGTGTGTGTGTGCTGCCCAAGTCCCCACATCAGCCATGGCAGCGCTTTAGTTTTGAGGTTCTAGCGGTTCAAGTCTCAGAAAAGCTTGAGTCCCCTTGTGGATCACCCGAGCCAGGTGACTGCCAGAGTCTTCTCCGCGGCAACGATGAAGCCTCAGGTGGGCTCCCCGTTTTCGGGGGAGAGTCAACAATACCGGTGGCAAAGCCAGCCGCAATACCAGCATTGACACCCCCTCAGCACTGACAAAAACAGAAGCATGACTGCATGCTTGGTGCCAGTATCGCATTGCCTTCATCGGCTCTCTACCACAAAGCATGAGACGTCTTCTTGGCACAAAAACCGACAGCCCCATCGAAAGTCTCTCCTCAAATTCTGCAAAGACAGGGCGAAGCAGCATCACATGTCGCAACTTTGCGTTTTCTCGCGTTTTGCAACATTGTCCATCTGAGCCCGCGTTTGTCTGATAACATCCCAAAACCACCAATCAGCGCACGAACACACACGCACACGCACTAAGACTGCAATGTTTCTTACGGAGCCCGGGACTATGTAGTTTCCAAGGCCGCAGGGTCCCTGTAGACACATCGATGCGATACCAACATGAGGTAGAATAGTCCATACCTATAGTCTCCATTGTAGTTCCTTTTTGGGGATACCTCATAAAATCCTTAGTATATATTTGGTTAAACCAAAAAAAGGAACTACAATGGAGACTATAGGTACTGCCCCAAAGAAGAACTGCCGAGACACCGCCGCGCTCGTCGCGAGGGACCGGCAGCCTTTGGCTCCAGAGCGAGGAGGCTCGCCATTAATCTAAGGTAGAACCCATGGGCCCCTAGTATGGGCGCTTAACCCTGGGACCCTAATATACCTACTATATACCCTATAGGGACCCTAGAATCCCCTAAGGGCCCATGTTAGGGGCCCATGGGTTCAACCTTAGAATTAAGGCTTTAGGAGTGGAGCTGCGCATGGTTGTGGAGCCCAGGGCCTAGGAATTCAGGGCTTGGGGCATGTCGCGGCATCGGGAGCGTTTCGTCATAATCACATGGACATAGAGCCTGGCCCAGACTGCTATCTTAGTAAGGAGCGGCTACAGTCTCATGGACAGGTAGGGACGTGCATGCGTCCGTATAGGAAGACGATGAACTATGAAGGGGTATTTGGGTAGTGTTCGTAATCACTGGGGCTTGTACATGGCCCCGCCATTCCAGTATGTACACCATATGAATCATATGAACTGGCAAAGGACAGGGTGAAAACAATGGTTCAGGGCACCCAGAGCACAAAGAAGCTAAATGCTAGATAATCACTGGACCCCGACGCACAACCCTGAGACGAACTAGACCAGAGCCGGGGTGCGCGAAGAGATCGTCAAAGATATCCTCGCAAGCCTTGACAAATGCCCCATGCGAACCAACTTACACACTATGGGGCCGGTTTATGAAGGCAGTTGGGACTTCAATCGAACATATCAATGCTTGTCTTTCAGAGTACCTTTGAAACAGTAGTCCAGTGAAGCGTAGAGCCATGTAGAGCTCTGGTGAATAAACCGCCTGCCCAAAATATGATGGGGATGCTGGTATTAAGGCCCTGAAAGACAGTTCATTGATCAGCGTCCTAACCCCCGATTGTTCGAATGGTTCCTCCGGGCTTGAAGCTGCTCATGATGAACTTCCGACAGTCCAAACGGGAATCCAGACACAACAAGCAAGGCGGGAGAGGAAGTTCGCCCTCGGTGGTCGCCCGGGATGGTGCCTTCTTCGGACGGTTTGCAAAACGGGCTCAGGGCTTCTTGTTGGCCGCCTGGCCCAAGAAACCTGTTTGCTGTGTAGAAAAAAGTGACAAACCACGAAGTCATCCGCTGAGTTAGAAGGTTTGCAAAGGCATCTTCGCAACCCTGCCTTCAGCGCGGGCCCATCGTTTGCGAAGACCAGGCACTGAAATGGATCCCCCGCTGACCTGTTTTTGGATCTTAAGGTTTACATCTTTGCAGGGCCTGAGGACCCTTTTCGACCACGCACTGACGTCAAGAAGCGGTGAACATGCGTCCACGTCTTTCACCCCAGAGTCGTAAGGATCATATCAGCGTCTCCGGACACCGCAGACTCGCAGACCCCGAATGGCTTGGTCTTCCTTGTTGCATACACGTTCCTTAACTGGGTTAGGACCTCATGCAAACGGTGTCTTAAGAACAGCTTGAAGTTCAGTCTGTGGGAGCTTCACGGTGCATGTTCCGGGGAAGCATGGCATGTCGACGAAACCGAGAGGCAGGAGCTCCCGATGCTCCGTGGCGCTGTAGTCCTCTGGAATCAGCTCCACTTTCTCGGCCTCCGCGGGAGTGAAACATGGCGAAGCGTAGGGTCTTGTGAGTTTTCTGCTGCGAATTCTCGGCGAAGCTCCCTAAACCCTAAACCCTAAGTTTGGAAAGAAGACTTCTTCCCTGAGAACATGGAGCAGTCTCGGCTTCCTCTTCCGCCTAGTCTGAGCATCTTTACTTAGCCTCTTTCACAGCCCTCTCACAGCTCGAGGCTCCGTTCCTGTGCTATACGGAGACTTGCAGATTTTCGCCCTGAGGGGTAACAGCTTCGTGCCTTCTGGGCTGCATCCAGCAGGCATTTCTCCAGACTTCGAACCGCGACATTGCGGGGGAAGGCCTGACTTTCCACCTGGCCGCCGCGCCACTTGAGCCCACACTCCTCTCAGACTCTCCTGTACTTCGGAATGCTTCTGGTGTAGTTGTGCCAACACAGCTAAAGCCTTTGGGTCCATCCTCCCCCCCCCCCCCCCCCCCCAGCTCTGGGAACCTCGAGCCCAGCGTCCAGGGGTCGCCTGGGCCATTGCTCGACGTATCCTTGGATCACGTTTGTCTTGAATGTATATGAATAGTATATAAGGTTGCTTTCGCAACAGCACAGTACCAAAACATGTAATAGGAATACCACTAGCTGTCACTAGCTCCTGCTGCTGCCATTGTCATTTTTGTTCCAGTCCGTGTTTGAAGTCTTCCTGTCATTCTGGTTGCTCTGTTATTTGTGTGACTAATCATGTAATTGTTATTACCGCTATAATAATATTATTGCGAATATCTCTTTATTTTTGCGGCAGAGGGTGCATGATGGTGACAGTATATGGCGATGATTACCAGTTCATGCTATTGCTGCAGTCAGCCATCACAGACACATTCTGCTAGTGATGTTTGCCGCCTCTGTGATCGCGAATCGACAGCAACTTCCAAGCACACAGGTCAAGCTGCTGAAGTTGCTAAAGCATCATCAAAGGACTCAAGCGCTACGAAACCCTCTTTAGGCAAGAAACGACACAAAGAACTCGAGATAGGGGTATCAAACGATTAGGGATCCCGAATAGCCTCTGAATAGTCGGATCCTTTCTGTAAGATGGGGACCCTTGGAAAAAGGACCTAAGTCCATTGCCACCAAGCTGCCGCCTTCTTCTTTGATGGCCTCTGCCACCCCATCGGGCATCTTATCCCAGACATGCCCCTCTATGGTGGCCACGTCCAATGCGGCCTGGACAGGAGCCACCCGAAAACCAGCAAAATATGCGGTTTCAGAAAAAAGGGGACCCTAATATAGTACCCTCAATAGTAGTAGGATCCTTATTATCAGGACCTCAAAAAGGTACCCCTTATTTTCGGAAACTCCCATATTAAGCTTTTCAGGAGCTGGCAGGTTCAGGAGGGCCGCGTTAGCCGCATGTATAGTGCTTGCTTTGGGTACTGCCCCCATACAGTAACAGTCTATAATAGGGCTACTATTAAGGGCCTATTATATCCATAATATGAATATTATCCAACTGTTACTGAGTGGGGGCAGTACCCAATGCTTACTTGAAGTGACGTGCAAGGAACTCACGGCGGCAATGCACAGAAAGTTTGAGCTGCAATGTCCGTGGCCGGGAGGGCGCATCGATGTGAGGCGATTGACTGAGCTTGGAGTGCATCGCAGCCATTCGGTCGAGGTGTTTCCTAGAGGTCTCAGATGCTCTCGATGTCGCAGAGCCCGTCCCTGTCCCTGGATGCGACTTGCTGTTTCTCGGAAGGGATGGCCGACGGAAGGCAAACGACTTTGTTGATTTCAGGAGTGCAGGGTCGTTGAAGTTTGCCTTCCGAAGATAAAAGTGATGGGAGTAGGCTTCCGGGCTTTCCGTTGATGTGACTGAAGTGCAGGTCTCAAATACGGCAAAGGTGACTGCGAAGCATTCTTCGAAGTAATCTTTGCGTGCTTTGACATCCTGTGTGAATGCAGGCGCTGCTGAGGGGTTTAGGGTTTAAGGGTTTAGGGTTTAGGGTTTAGGCACAAGCCATGGACATGAAACTCCGGTACCAACAATTTTCTCCGTGCGCCTCCGCGTCGGTCCGGTTATCCTTTATCTGCAGCTGGCCGGAAGAAGTGCTTTTCCAGGTGCCTGTGGATCAGATGTGGAAACCGAGACAGCTATCTAAACGACAACCTGAACACGAACAGCACCCCGTAGTAATCCCGACAACCTTCAACCTAAGACCTCGCACTTGAAATCCCAAAGCCTGGAACTCTGAACCTGTGCCCCAAAGCTCTGCAAACACAGCCCAGGCGCCCTCAAAGACTCGGATGCGAGCCACTCGTCCTGCAGCCGCACCTGCATCCCGGTGACGTTGATGCGCGCTTGTGGTAGAGAGAGCAGAGAGAACCAGGTGGTGGGTGTCCGGACATTAGTGGCGGTGCCAGACTCCTCATGTCCGGACAGCATTCCGCGAGGCTCAGAGACGCAGTGTTTTTGGAAGACCCATGTAAACACGCGAGAGACAGGCTGCTTCGACGAGTTCTCAACCTTTTGTCCACTGTGGCATCGCTGGTCCTATGCAAACCCAAGCCGCAACATAGGACATAAGTAGTACTCATCTAGCAGGGCTTATCTGGGATTCTTTTAGAGGCCCCAATGTCGCGAGCACCTTAGCAAATTCGAAGGTTTGGGCATAGTTCGAGTGCCTCGGTGACGTACACAATCAGCTCCTGTCACGCAACTAATTGATTACTGGCAAATTCTTGCGAGTGCGGTTACAAACATGAGGTTCGTATCAGCCATCGACGGCCAACAGGACCTACTTTGTCGGGAAAATAGGGGCCGTAAGGTCAAAAAATGGAGTTGGTGGTATACTCTGTCTGGTAGAGGTTCTTGTTGAAGGATCCGTACTTCTTACGGAATAGAGTATTGGTAGGTCAAGTGCACGGAGATGAACTGGAGCTCTGGGCGAAGATTTTGGCCGCAAGCATGGCCTGCGCTGAGCAGCAGTGCCAGCCACAGGCCTGCCAGGCTGCCGCCCGCAACCACCACCTCTGGGACTTGGGGGGGCCAGAGCTTTCGGATTCAGCGGCTTTGTTTCAGCGTTGATCAACCTGGAGGCTTTTGCTTTGAGTTTTTGGGGCTTTGGGTCTTGGGACCTGGCGGGGTAGTGATTTTTTTTGAAGTTCGATGTTGGTTTCTTTGAGTTTTTGGGTTTGTGCGTTTAGGGCCACCTCTTTCGTTTCAGTGCCCTGCTCAAATGGCGCAGTTGCAGCCAGGATCTCGCGAAGACCCTGAGCAAGGTGTCTCTAAGCCCTGCACACCGAACCCCTAAAGCCTAAGCACTCAATTCCCTTTTTTTGAGCAGGGACTGCAATGCACTAAATCCCTGCAGCCAAAAACCCCAAATTGTCCAAATCGTGTGACAAAGCTGACACACACCAAGTCACGTCTGCGCCGGATGGCCCCGGTTTTCCAGTGGCTGGGGGAGCCGTAAGAGCACTGGTACCTCAGAAGCTCGGGGGCTACAGGGTAGTTCTCTAAATAAGCGTCCCTTTTGAGTCCGCCAAAGTAGTACGGAACCCCTATAAACAGGATCCTACAAAGGAAGCTAATTCAGAGACCATCCTTTAAGCTGAAGGGTTCGTCCACGTACCCAATCATATCAGGACTCCCCCAGAAGGCAACCGGTTAGTGCCATCATCAGCCCAAATAAACTACAGTCGGTACTTCAGAACCTTGGTTTCTAGGACCGGGCAAATTTGAAGGCAATTTCCTAAAACCCTAAACCC